TTGGTGGCAGCCCCTGGTTTATCCCTGGTGCCCGGCTATATTTGGGCAATGGTTTGTTCGGATATATATGTCGGGGTCTTGTTTTTCCGTGGCTTTCCTGGCTGGGAAGGCCAAATGTCTCCATCAGGTACCGCTGGCGGTCTGACCTGACCATGTTTTCTGCTGGTTGCGTGTCAAAATGTCTGAAATAGGTTAAAAATGCGGTGGGTTTAAATGTCAAACTCGATCCTGGGCTCGAGGAAATGTTGGGAGAGGCCTTTGCAAGGATCCAGGAGTGAGAGTTGGGACATTAAGGCCAAGTTGGAATCGGGAGTCCTCTCCACAAGTAGGATGTTTATATTAAAATTGCTGTTGTCTGCTTATTCCTGGGGCTTAATTACGTCCTCTGTAATTTCAGAAAGGCGGTTTGAGTGCTTTGGTTTGTTTTTGGTCAATTAAGTGCTGGATGCTGGGCCATGGAGTAGGCCATGGGTGTGTATTCCAGAGGGGCATCCCGGTTGGATGGTGTGTGTCATCCCTGGAGGATGCCCCCAAGAAAGGGCCCTCCTGACGTGCTGTTGTGTCTCCCATTTCTAATTTGTGCATCCTTGCCTCGTGTGAAGCAGCAGTTTTTTGTGATCAGGCTTGGGGGGAGTTGGCGAAATCCTTGATTTGGTGGGCTGGGAAGGATGGGAGGAAAACAGAGTTGGGTTGATATTTTGACAGCGTTGTGGTGAAGAACTGAAGGCAGCAGCCAGGGCTGTAGTTCTTTCTGATAGTTTGCCATGAGTTTTCTTTCTGCTTGTGCTAACTTTGGGTTTAAATGCGAAAAGAACATCAATAATTATCGTTAAAATCTGCAGACCCGCGTATAAAAACCTGTTCTTGGAACGTGTGGCTCCCTTTTCAGTTTTCCACAGGCAGGACTTGGGCAGCAAAAGCCTGTCCGAAAGAGCAGGGGATGTAATTTCCTTTTTTTATTTCATGACAGTGCTGCTTTTCTCGACCTGAGATCCCATTGATCTCCTTCCAGTCTGCCCATGGAAACCTGGAGGGGCTCCGGGATTTTGCTCCCGGTGAGTGTGGAGCTGCAGCTCTGGCCCCCAACTTCCATGGCCTACAGTGATGGGATACCTTAATTACTGCAGGGCTTTAACAGTCTCTCTGTGTTCCAGTGTTTCACGTGGGTATGGTTTGGTTTAGTATGGTGGCACAGTAAAATTCCCAGAGTTCCTGAAGCTGGGCAGGATAATTCAGGGTCTTCCCTGTACTTGAAATCCCAGAGATAAAATTGCTGGTTAAGCTTTGCTTCCATAGGCCTCCAGCTCCTGCTGGAAGGACAGCGGTGGATTTGGGAGGATTGGGGAGCGAAGGTCCCTCTGAAGGAGCCGCTGGGTGGGACTGGGATTCTGGGTGGTGTTGGAGGCAATTCCTGCAGGACCCACAAAGGGGTCTCGGGCTGACCTGGGGCTTGTGGCTGCTCTCACAGCCTTCCAAGAGCTGAAGGAACTGGATCCCTCAACCTCTGCTAAGACAGACTGTGAATCATCAACAGCTACAACTCAAAGGCAGCAGTTTCCTTTCATTTGGGTTTTTGAGCTCTTTTTGCTGCTGCTATCAGTAGGGATTTACAGCTGGCAGTTGCTTGTAGGAAAACTTTGTGTGGATCTTCCAGTTCTTTACCTTCTGAGAGAAAATTGATAACAATTTTCCTGTATTCCTGGTCAGAGGCTTCCCAGGCTCTTGGGGGGCAGATTGTTTGGAATTAGCAAGGACCTGTAAAAATGCTGTTTGGGGCCTGACTTATATTTGTCTTCAGCAGTGTTTCCTTGGAGTTTGCTGCCTTACCTTCCTCCCTTTCGGGGGGATGAACGTGCTGGTGTTATTTGGACTGGGCAGCAGGATGTTTGAGGAGAATCTTTATGATGCAATACTTGGAAGAGTGGAACTTTTCTTGCAGTCCTGTGGTTCTTTGCTCGTGGAGGGCTCGGTCTTCCCTCTCCTTGTTAAAAGGCCCTGGAGATCCTGGCACGAGTCACACATAGGCCCAGGTGGAAACGCCGTGGTTTTCAGTGGGTCATTTAATTCCCTTTGTCAGGAGGATTTATTTCGTTTCTCCTACTGCTGCTCCTCGTTTGTGGCAGATGAGTGGTTGCAGTAGAGTCGGTAACTCCGGCTGCTTATCCTGGATGTTCCTCCTGGGAAGCAGCAGCCAGGTGGGAGGCCCCTCGTGCCCATCTGGAGCCCCACTAATGTCCCAGTGTCTCCACCAGCTTAAGGGGCCCACGTGCACAGAGCGCTTGGATCTCATCCCCTGATGGCCAGGGCCTCAAATTTGGAAACCTTCGCAAAAATTCCGTTCAGACTCCGGGAAAAGCGGGGAATTCCGTTGCTTCTTTCGGGTTTCTTGGGCTGTCGGAGGGTTTCGTTTTGGCGCTGCTGGTTTTTAGGGTCCCTGGGTCGGTTCCTTATCCCGCCCCAGTGGAAGTGGGAATCGCTTTGTGACTGTGGAAATCACCCTGGGTTTCAGCAATTAAAAGACACAGGATGCACTTCTCTCTCTCTCTCTTTTTTTTTTTTTTTAAATGTCATTCAGGACCTGCTTGTTCTTTTCAAGAGTTGCTTGAACGTTGGAAACCACAGGCTCTGCCTGGCTTTTCTTTGCATTTATTTTTGGAACTATTAGGTGCAATAATCAGCCTCCACTAGGCCTGCCCAGGAACCCAAGGCTGGAATTCTGGCCCTGGCTTTTCAGGAGGCCTTAATTTTATCCCTGGTGTGGCTGGAGCTGAACAAAGTGGGAATCAAACAAGAAGCAGCAGTTCAGAAATGAAGAAGTGCTGACTCCTTTCCTCTCTCCAACTCCCAGTTCTTTATTCCAGCAATACCAATTTTTTTTATTATTATTATTATTTTTTGATGAATCATCTAGAAAGGAGTTCAGGCTTTTGCAGTTGTTTTAAATAGAGGTGAAATTTGTCCAAAACCTCTTAAATGATGATGTCATGAAGTGTGTGAGTACGTATGCAAATGAGGTTCGCTGCATACACAAATACACGTGTGT